AGGCAGCAGTCCAAATCTTAGTTTTAACTGGCCCCCAAAACCCCAAAACCCCGTTGGATAAAATTTAAGTAATTAGCAAAGTTTGCTTAAATAAAGATAAATATTATAGGATTAAATATTGTCGGAGAGTGGTATTGACGATAAGCAACTCATGATTGATTCTCCTAATTTGACTAACCCAAGGGTCATACAATTTTCCATTCCCTCGGCCTCATACGTCAACGATAAATACACCGTACTTTCCCTACCGCTAATTTCCTCAGGTTTATAAATTGCAAATGGAAACGCAAATGCAGACATGGGCAGTTGATCACAGATATAGTGAATTCAGAGATCTCCATCACTAGGTAAGTTAGTGCTATGAGTTAAGACTATAGATCTCCAAAACCAGGAAGGTGCTGCCTAAGTTCCCTCCCAAAAAATTAAAAAAGATGACAGAGCATGTTGTTGAACAACGAAAAATATCTTTAGCCAGTAACTAATCACTATACTAATAACTCTCCACATAGATTATATGAATGAGCTTTGTCACTGTTTTAACATATTTGATGATAAGGATGTTATAGAGTTTATCTAGATGAAAGGTAAGTAGCGCAGATAGTGGATATACAAACGAATATATTGAAATTATCAATGAGAGGGAGGTAGATCTGATTATTTTGATAAATTTGAATAAGGTCATGAGATATTACTGCTCAAATGCATATATACTAATAAATGACTCTCTCACTCTCCTTAATATTGAGAAATTTGTTCTCAGAAAATATATTAACAAATTATATTAGATAAGGAATATATGAGATAGTATTTTTAGAGTCTCTATGAGTATCAAGAAAATATGTTCTAATAAAATTAGTTTCACAGAATATCCGATGTGTCAGACAAGTCAGCTGGAAATCAATCTGATGATAATCCTTAAAATCTTAAAAGCCCTATCAAGGAGAATCTGACTAAGTCGTTTACAGCTGGTGCTAAAGACTAACCAGAATGCGAGAGAAAGGTTATTAGCCTATTGGAGTCACTTGAAACTGATCCAGATAAATTTTCAAGCAATCTTAAGAGTTTCGAAGAATATTATTTCATGAATAAACCAATTTTGAGCATGAGTTATGTAAAAAGGCTTTTCTTTGTAATCTATTCAATAGTCTTTATCTAATTCTTTAGGGCGATGGCTACAAAATAAAAGGACTACTATAACACCTGAGCTCATCCGACCCAAGATCCATTTCAGTAGTCAATCTTATCAACTTTATTGCGAGACTCCTGGATTACAGAAGAAATCATCGTAAGCTTCCCTATTATTCAATTTAAAATATGAGGATATTTATCATTATAAATATAGAAATTGAACAGTTCAGACAAATCTTTACATAATGTGACTAGAATTTTATCAAAAAGCTGAATCTTGAAAATCACCTGGCTAATCCTTCATGCAAAGAAGGAACTTTATACATTCTACATGAATATATCAATGTCAACCTCATCTAGCCTAACAAAATTGTAAGATATTAAAATGATCCTCGTCAAGTGTGATTAACTTAACTCTCTATAGTTTACAATTCCAGATAACATCCTTTTATTTGAAAAGTGGAGAAAGTAAAGATAAGTCGTTCAAAAATCTTATATGTCTAGTGTTTCCCCACTGAGATTGCAAAAAAAAGATTCTGGCAGAAACACCACCACTGACTCATTCAATTTTGAGAAGCATACCTTCAAAAAGAATCACTCCTTTATTGGCTTTTCCCAGGACATGAGCTAATAAGAAGTCAAGAAGACGGAATCCTCGAATAATCTGCTTACTGAGACTAAGAATGATGATCTTGACAGACTAAAGTTAATAAAAACTAAGAGTCAGAACCTGGCTTTCAGAAGTTAGATTGGATTCGAAAATGTCCCTTAAAAGTCTTCGTAGTTTAAGCCTTAACAAGATACACCTTCAGACTAGCAGATAATGAAAGATGTGAGTTCACTGGATGATGATGAAGAAGAGGAAAAACTTGAGATCGAGCATGTTGACTTGCATGACATCATGTACATGAAAAATAACAGTGGTGACAACAAATCATAAAAATTTCACAAGATTAGTGATGATTCTAACCAGTAGGTTTAAAAGAGCACTAGCACATCAAATAACAATTATATCTAAGACACGGAATGATTAAGTAAATGTTTAACAACTTCTGATAGTGATTAGACTTCATCTTTGTGCTTCACTTTTAGGTTAACTGCCTTCTATATTCAAAAGATGAGTGAAGGTAAGATAAACTTGATTAGTAACTCACAAGAGTCTTTTCTTTATATCTTTATATTTCTATTAATAATTATCTCTCTAAAATGCTATAGCCATATCCAGTGGGGTTTTGGGGTTTTGGGGTTTTGGGG